CCCCTGTGCTCTCCAAACCAAAGGTAGGGGAGACCCTCTACCTCTACCTTGGGGTCAGCCCGGCGGCCATCAGCTCTGTGCTCATCCGGGAGGAAGACGGCATCCAACATGCCATCTTCTATGTAAGCAAGACCCTGAGGGAGGCCGAGCTCAGGTACTCTCCTGTGGAAAAAACGGTGTTAGCCATCGTTTGGACCGTCAAGAAGTTGGGCCACTACTTTCAGGCTCACTCGGTTCAGGTCCTAGCTCATCAACCCCTCGGCGCCCTCATGAGGAGCCCCACCAGCTCCTCCCGCATGGTGAAATGGGCTATCTTCTTGAGCCAATACAACATTGACATCCGTCCGAGGCCTGCCATCAAGGGCCAAGCCCTGGAGGACTTCGTGACGGAGTGTACCGCAAGGGCAGCCACGGACGGGGAGCCCTCGGCCACCTCGGACGACTGGTGGACCCTCTACACCGACGACTCCTCCGCAACCAAAGCATGCGGGGGAGGGGTAGTCCTCATTACTCCTGAGGGCTTCAAAGCCTACTATGCAATCCGCTTCTCCTTCAAAATCTCCAACAACGAGGCCGAGTATGAGGCCCTCCTGTGTGGCCTTCGGCTGGCTGCCAACATGGAGGCTCGGCAGATCCATATCAAATGCGACTCCAAGTTGGTCGTTGGCCAAATCTCCGAGGAGTATGAGGCCAAGGAGGGAAGAATGAAACAGTACAAGGAGGCGGCCAAGGAGTTGCTTAAGGTATTTGAGGCACACTCTCTCACTCAAATACCGAGGGCTCAGAACTCCGAGGCCGACATACTATCTAAGCTCTCGGCCGACTACCCCGAGCACATCTCCAAGATCGCTAAAATTGAGGAACTCAGTCTCTCAAGTATCCATGCAAGCCCCGTCATGAACATACAACAACGCCAAGAGGACTAGATCTCAGATATCATCACCTTCATCTCCACAGGGCGGCTACCCGAGAATGAGACCCGCGCTAAACTAGCAAAGCTGAGGGATCCTAGCTACACCATCGAAGACGGGAGGCTCTACAAACGGTCTTACAACGGCACGCTACTTCGGTGCCTTCATCAAGATGAAGCCGAGGTCGCAATGGAGGAGGTGCACAGTGGCACTTGCTCAGCTCACCAGGGACCCTTCTCCATGTCCCGAAGGCTCATTCTCCAGGGCTACTTCTGGCCAACCATGGCCAGAGATTGTGCTGACCTTGCCCGAAGGTGCACCGCATGCCAAGATTTCCAGAAAGCCCCCGGCAGGCCAGCGGTCAACTATGCCCCCATCAGCACATCCGTCCCCTTTTCTCGATGGGGGATAGACCTTGTGGGCCCTCTGCCGAAGGGTACCTCCAACAACAGGTACATCATTGTGGCCATCGACTACTTTACCAAGTGGGTGGAGGCTGAGCCCCTCGCCAGCATCACAGAGGCGAAGTGCCGTCACTTCGTCCTCAAGAACATCCTCACAAGGTTTGGCGTCCCCCAGCAGATCATCTCCGACAACGGAACACAATTTGAGGCGGCCCCCTTCTGTGCCCTTCTGGAGGCATGGGGCATCAAACACACCTTCTCCTCCGTTGCCTACCCTCAAGGCAACGAGCAAGTAGAGAACGCCAACCGGACCTTTCTCGAGGGCCTCAAGAAGAAGCTGGAGGCCGAGGGCGGTGGCTGGGTAGAAGAACTCCACAACATCCTTTGGGCCTACCGCACCACCCCTCGGCGAGCAACAGGTGAAACACCCTTCTCCCTCTGCTACGGGTTTGAAGCCAAAGCTCCTACGGAAGTCACCCTTCCTACCCGGAGGGTGATCCAATATGACCCCGAGGTCAACGACAGCAACATGGCCCTCGACCTCCACCTCCTTTCAGAACGCCGGGAGCAAGCCTTCATCCGGGCAGAAAACTACCGAAGGCAAGTCAAAAGCTACATCGACGCCAAGGTTCGCACCCGAGAATTCCAAGTGGGGGACTATGTCCTCCGGAGGAGGGAAGCCAGCCAACCGACCGAGGGAGGCAAAATGGCACCAAAGTTCGAAGGTCCCTGCATCATAGCAGCCATCATCAAACCTGGGACTTACAAGCTCAAACGCCCCAACGGGAAAGAGGTCCCCAGGCACTGGAATGTACACCACTTAGTTAAATTTTATCAATAATGTAAGAGCGGCCAAGCCCTCCTAACTAGTGAATGTACTATCCTATGGCCCAAGGCCTCCAATTTTGAAGAATGAAGATACATTCAAGACACCAAGAACAACCGCAAAACACTTATGAGCGGCCAAGCCCTCATACTAACTACAGGCCCCAGGCCTCACCACGAGAAGAACCCCCTCCGGCACCAAGTGCCGAGGGCGGACCCTATCAACACCTTCAACAACAGTGAAAACACCAAGTGTTTCAAACAAGACCCCTCGGTACCAAGTACCGAAGATGGGGACTCCCATCACTGGCAACAGGAAACACCAAGTGTTTCATTTCAAGACCCTTCGGCACCCAGTGCCGGGGGAACAAATCTCCACCATCAACATCAAAAAGAAGAACACCAAGTGTTCCTACAGAAGACCCCTCGGTACCAAGTACCAGGGGATACATATCGAAACTAACACCAAGTGTTGTTTCTAAAAAGCCGTACCCCACGAGGACGCATATACCGAAGGCGCCACCATCGGTGCCGGCGGCACGTAGTGCCCCCGGCCATTTGCAACTAGTGTGCAAATGAAAACCCTTCCTTGAAACGCTTTCCACGTCACTACCCCCAGGGTATGACAGGCATGAGAAATGCCCAGGATTCGACTTTCAAAAACGGAACGCTTTCCGCGTCATCACCCCAAGGGTATGACAGGCACGAGAAATGCCCAGGATTCGACTTCCAAACCGAAACGCTCCCCGCGCTACCACCCCAAGGGTGTGGCAGGCCACGGACTATGTCTAGCGCCGAGGGGACGACTTTCAAAAATGAGGCGCTTTCCGCGCCATCCCCCAAGGGGAGGTAGGTTACAGACCACCATATCTTGTGCCCAGGAAACGACCCTCGACCCCCTCGGAACTCGGAAGGTTAACCCGAGGGAGGTGAGCCATTGGTGTATTCTGATGGTCTCCTGATAGGCCCAGCCTTACCAAGAAACCAAGTTTCTTGATGCCTTTCCTTCACCACCAACCCAAAAAAAAACAGAGGGGGTGAAGGGGAGTAGACTCATCGAGAAATCAATGAGTACAACACTCCAACAAATCACAGCATACCGAAGGCTCCCTACGGGAACACCTCCGGTAACTGAAGGCTCCTATTTCCCGAAGGCTACTACTCAACAATACAAAGGGATGAGTTCACTACTAATAAGTGCCGAGGGCACCTACCATCGGTCATCCATTGCTACCGATGGGTCCTATCCTGTAAGAGGGGATGCAACTGACTAAGGCAGCTCAAGAACCCTTCAAATGAATGCCGAGGGCACCTATATCCCACCAGCATTCACTACGACATCAATATCCTACAAATTTTCCTAAGTCCACACTTTTGGAAAAATGACAACAGCCGGAGGCTCACATATCACCCAACAACCGAAGGCATCTATTACAAATCATCAAAGGCCAACCAAGGGGGATTATTTCAAAATAATGTCGCCCTCGGGAAATCTTAAGTGGAAAACACTACTAACCGAAGGCTACACAAGGAAGCAACACTTAGAGAATTTTCTAAGTCCTGAAGATTGAGCCCCCAGCCTGATCAATATTTCAACTAGAGGAACCATGATACCCGAAGGCTAGGTGATGCAACAACACTTATAAAATTTCCTAAGTCCTACATATTTTGGCCCTCGGTCAAATCTCCATGCTACCCGAGGGGACATGCGGTTGAAGACTTGGCGAAGCTATACTTAGAAAATTTTTCTAAGTCCTACATACTTTAACCCTCGGTCAAATCTCCATGCTGACCGAGGGCTCCTGCTACATACGTGCTACACTTAGAAAAATTTCTAAGTCCCAAAAGATCTTACCCTCGGTGACGAGTTCCTAAGTCCCAAATCTCCCTGCAACCCGAGGGGTCACGCGATTGAAGGTTTGGTGGGCTACACTTAGAAAAATTTTCTAAGCCCTAACTTTTGCTGGGCCCTCGGTCACACATCTAGCAAAGGGTGCCCGACTACCGAAGGTTATGACTGTATTCAAACACTTAGAAGAATTCTCTAAGTCCTAAGCACCTCACCTCCGACCATCACACGAAGGCTACACGGGACCAGAAGGGAAGATCACCCGGGGGCCAACAGATGAACAAACACTTAGAAATATTTCTAAGCCCTGAACATCGTGCCCCCGGTAAAACGTTAAAGTAACTAAAGGTTACTAGTAGCCGAGGGCTACGAGAAGCACCGCACTTGGAAGAAAATATCCTAAGTCCTAAACATACATTCAAAGAAGGGCGAGGGCGTACATTCAGAAGGAAACGACGACATACATTCAGGAATAAATAAATCGAAAGGAAGCATGTTATATATGAAAAGCCCGAAGGCAAACATTCATCAATCGACAGAAAGAAGAGTAAATGTGATTGTTACAAAGATGGCCGGGGCCGAAAGCATAAGAATGTGACCATTACAAGTGTGTTCCAATTGCTAAGTACAGATTACAAATCAAACAATATTATTCCCGAGAGCCGCCTCCTCCGATGGCTTCGAGGTGACCTCTGCATCGGCCTCAGGTTCGTCACCCTCGGCTTCCTTCCGGAGCTCGGTGTCCTCTAGGTCTGGCCTCTCGACATCAGAGGGGAGAGGAACACGGATGTCTGGCTGCAGGGGGGGAAGCCCGTATGCCGCCGGGTCGAAGTCCTTCGAATCAATTTTCAAGTGGCGAGCCATCCTCCGGTAGATGAGGGCTTGGGTGAAAAACTCGCCCCCATCATAATATTGTTTGCCCTTTTGGGCCATCCATTCCTCGCCCGGGCCCTCGCACCACTCATTGACCGAGGCCTCCACAACTGAGGACAACCACTCCTTGTGTCCCTCGGCCTTCCACCCCCCATCCAGGAACCCGGAGATGGCCTCCTCCCGGGCTGTGGCGACAGCCTTCGCTCTGATGGCCTCGGCCTCCTCGGCGGCTTTCCTTGCGGCCTCCGCAGCAGCCTCCTCAGCTTTGGCTTTCTCCTCCCTAAGCCTTCCGGCTTCCGCTCTCGCAAGCTGGAGGTCCTCTTCAAGCTGGGCCATCAGCTTCGTGGCCTTGGAGTCCTTGAGAATTAGCTCCTTCATCTTTGCGTCTTGCCCAGCTTTGTGGAGGCGCCATTCCTCCAGCCGTCGGGCCTGCTCCCCGAGGGCAATGCAGGTCTGCAAAAATAAAGGAATTAGCAGGGCCGAACATGATTTCCTAGTTCGGAGAAAAGAAGAGAAAGATAACTGTCATAGACTTACCGTGAGGGAAGACCGGAGGATCCTGTCCTCGAGGGATTGGTCATCATCGGCCTCGAGGGCTGCCCTGTCAATGTCAAGGGTTATACCTCTCAGAAGCGCCCTCGGGTCAGCCGTGCCATTCAACACGGCCGTACCAGCCAGGAGGGAGAGCGTAAGGACCTCAAGCGATGGCTCCCGGACACCCCTCGGCACCTTCGCCACCGGCATCTCCTCGTGCACCCCGAAGGCGGGGCAGTCATCCACAATCACCACCGGGGGGTCCTTCTTCGCAGCGTCCCCCTTCTTCGATTTCTTGGTGGCCTGGGGGGACTCCTTTGCCGTCGGTTTCCTCTTCGCGGCGGCAGCGTCGCCCTCGGGCTTCTTGAAAAGCGCACCGGCGGGATTTTGGCCACCCGCGTCCGACCCCTTCGGATCCTTGGCTGGCTTGTTCTTGAAACGGGCAAGGCCTTTGACGTTCATCATATTCACTGGGACACCTGCAAAAAACAATGTGGGGTTAAGACCGAGGGGTCACTAACAGATGGCATAAAGGGAAACAAACAAGCAAATGGGTTAAGACTGCGAGAGTGCCCTCAGCCACTACCTCCGGAGGCTCCCTCAAACACCGGGAACTTCTCATCTGTTTCCCCCAGGAAGCGATACCTCCGGAACCCGAGGGTGTAGAGATCTCCCTCTTTGGTGCACTCCTTAATGGTGATATTCTTGTCCCGGCCCTCCGGGATCATGGCCAGAATCCTACCGTCTTTCTCGAGGGCGGCGCTCCTCCTCTTCTCGTGCCTCCTGAAACGGTCACGTAACTCCCTCGGGAAGGGGCTCTCGGTCAGCTTCACGTAGCACCACCGGTCCTTCCACCCCTTGTTCGAGGAGGGCGCCTCAGTGAAAAGCTTGAACATGGCCACCTGCTGCAAGTTTGCGAAGCCCTCGGCATTCGCATGCCCCCCCCCCCCCCGACACAAATTAAAGCTCTGGAAGAAGAGGTCCAGGCTAGGCGTCACCCCCCGGGACTTGCAGAGCTGGAGGAAGCCAGTAATGTAAGAATGGCTGTTCGGGGTCAACTGGTAGGGGACCAGACCCACGAACCGGAGGTACTCCCGGAGGAAAGGGTGCAGGGGGAAGCGGAGCCCCATGGACACCGAGAGAACATGCACTGCTATACAGCCCTCGAGAGCCCGGGAGAGGACGTCATCTGGACCCGGTGTCACCACGATGGCCGAGGGGCCCACGTGAAGCTGAGTGACGTAGATGTCCGCCGCATCAACCTTCGACCTTATCTCCAAGGAGGCGGTGTTCAGGTAGGAGTACCCCTCGGGCATATCGAGGGGCTTCCCTTGATCTGCAACGCTGCCCTTCTTCTTGGGAGCAGCTACCTTGGCCTTCTTCTTTCCAGGGGCCACCCGGATGGGAACCGCGTTCAGCGGCCGAGAGGTACTGGCCTCACCAGCACCCCGAGGGGGAAGGACAGCCACGGTCACCCTCATCCTCTCCTTTGCTTCCTCCTCCTCTGCAACCTGCATGGCGAGGGCCAGCTCTTCGTCTTCCACCTCCTGTTCGAAGCCCTCGGCTTCAACTTCAGCCAGCAGCTCCTTCTGCACCTCTACTGCCATCGCAACGTCCTCCTGGGCCGATGACTGTTCGTTTGAGGACTCCACATCCGAGAGGACTTCATCCTCCATCGAGGGCGCCCCCGAGATGTCTTGAGAGTCACTCTGTGAAGACATTGTTGTACTAGGTCGAGGGTTCGGGGACGCTAAGTGCTCTAAGCTACCTACCTAGTCTAAGGCCACAAATACAACTAGCTAAGAGGTGGAGTGCGAATGGAGAACTGACCTTAAAACCTGATCGAGGGCTGCTGTTTCTCTCTCTAGAAAAATTGGCAGAGCTTCGCTATAAGAATTTCGGACAAGGGGAAGGAAGCCCGGCCATGGGTATTTATAGGCGCTGGAATCCGGGCTTGGGCCTGGAAACCAGGCCTCCGGATGGACTGTCATCATTACACGCCGTGTCTTCGCCCAACCGGTGACGCCGCCCACGGACAGCCAACCATCACGCGCCACGTGTACCCCCCAATGGCTATATCCTGACGTTATATATTCCAACGACTATATTTCCAACGGCTATATTCTGGGAGCCCCCGGATTTTCTCACTTCACTCCACTCCATCAAGAAGAACCTCCGGGTACACTTACCCAGAGACGCCCCCGGGTTGTGCCCCACACAGTACATAACAGTCGCCTTCGGGACCACTCCTTCAGAAGCTCAACGCTTCATATCAGGCCGCCCCTCGGGGATTCCCCCTCAGCACTGTAAGGGCCGGGTAGCCCCCGGGAAGTATGCCTCATTGACAGATAGCCTACGGCACACGGGTAAGGGGAGCCCTCGGATATCCTCATCACCAACTAATCAGCAAGCAGGGGACACCCCGGTGACAATTCAACTACTGCCCTCATCCATCACGCCCTCGATCCCCAGATTGAGGGGCTCCCCTTCGGCACCCCCAGGACATCAACAGCAAGCCTTCGGCTAATCAACACATGAGCCCTCAGAACAAGGAGAGCCTTCGGCATTACCGTTATTCTCCATTTCGAACCAAGGTTTCACGTTTCGATTCATCGTTGGGGGAATTCGGTGCACTCTTTTTCCCTCATTAGGATTTTTTCCCACAGGGTTTTTCCTAATGAGGTTTTTAACGAGGCATCCCCCCAAAATGAAACGAAAAGCGTCAGCCTTCGGCCCCATGCTACAACGGACTAAACTTTACTCCTTTTCACCACTTTACAAGTGCCTCAAGGAGTGGGGGACTGGAGAACACCTTCGGGAAAATCATTAAATTACAAAAATGGTGAAAAATTCCAACAGGCGGCAAAGCAATCCCTCAAGTCCCGACATGTGGGTAACTGAGGGACTGCCTTCGGCAGGGACATGCAAGCAACAACCCCTCACCAACCTCAGAGATTACAACGGAACAACGGCAGGGGACAAACACAAATTACTCCTTTTCCCTCAAGTACCTTTCGGCAAAAGGAGTGAGGGACTCCTGATGGAGTATATGGCCCGGGAACACCCGACCCACAGACTCCTACTACTCCAGTAAAGGCCCAACAGGCCTAGAAGGCCCAACAGGCCCAAATCACAGCGCCCAGAGTACCAAGCAGCCCGCAATGCGCACCAGGGGTGCCTTCGGCCCCCTGGCCGAAGGCTCTAAACTCTCACAGAACGGGTTTCCCAAGCAAACTAAGAAACTGGGGGAAAAACGGCAGAAAACAGTAGCCCTCGGCACTCAGGGGTCCTCGGCACTAAGAGCCCTCGGCTAGTCCTCTGCAGCCGAGGGCACCTCTCCCGACATGATATCCGCATCACATGCGTACAGATCACCGTACCCTGTACAAACGTCCCATCCAACAGCCGCATTAAATGCGGCCACATGCGGCTGCCAGCGCCAACCAGTTGAGGTGACCTCTCGGGCAATGGGCGCTTGACACGTGTCCCTGTCCGGCATTTATTGCTACTATAAATAACACCCCATTTCCCCATTTGTAACCACACTGAAAACGCTCCACACTTATAATATACCTTCTCTCTCTACATTTACTTGCTCTGACTTCTCTCTTATTACTCCCGTAATAACCCCTCAGATAAACTACCCCCCGGGTACACTATCCATCAAATATATTGGTATCATATGAAAGAGCAAAAAAAAAATTGATGTATTTTTTTTTAAAAAATTGGATCAAAAATAAAAAAAATTAAAACAGTTGCCAAATATTAAAGAGTTGCCATGCCACATGGCAGGAAACTAGGGTGGGGGGTGAACATCACCCTCTTTTGAGAGGGTGAACAAATTTGTTCTTGATGTGCTCACCCCTAAGTAAAGGAAAAGCGTCTCGCCGGGCTTGGGTTTGGAGAGGACGGGATGGGAGGGGAGGTATTGCTTCAGCTCCTCAAAGGCCTTCTGGCAGTCCGTCGTTCACTTGAAACCGGCTGTCCTGCGCATTATTTGGAAAAAGGGGATAGATGTCTCAGCTTATCTTGAGAGGAAACGGTTCTGGGTCGCTAGGCGTCCCGTCAGCCGTTGTACCTCCTTTACGTTCCGTGGTGGCTCCATGTTGATGATTACCTGTATCTTTTCCTCGTTCGCCTTGATGCCCCTTCTCCTTGGACGCCGAAGGTGCATTTCTTTGGATTGAGGCGGAGGTTGAACTTCTTCAGTATTTCGACGAGAGCAACAGAGACATAGAAGGAGAGGGTGGCGGTGATGATCCTTCTCTTGTCGTTGCCGATGGTGTGGCCGCCGTTACTCAAGTCGAAGGAGAGAAGAAGGCGCAACTCAAGGTCCAGGAAATGTTTGAGTGCAAATTTGTTAGGGTTCAGGAGCATTTAAGTCTATTCATCTCCTTTTTAGCCTCTTTTTTGTCCGTACGAAATTTGGTCCTATTTTTGTCAATATCACAGCGAGAGTAATACTACCTCCGTCCTTTAAAATTTTGACAAAGTTAACCGGCACAGAGAATAATAAAGTAAAAACTGTGTGGTTGAAATTTGTGCAGATATGAGAGAAATAATAGAAATAACAAAATATCTAATTAAAAGGGAAATTGAAAAAGTTTTTTGGGACGTCCCAAAATAAAAAGTACGGAGTACACAACGTTTTAGGGAGGGATGGAGTATGATTTTCTTTCTTAGTGTCCTCGTTATTTCGGCAATATGTTTGCGTGTTCAGTTAACTTCACTATTTTACTTAAAGCTCTTACGCAACCTGTCCTTGCCCGAACATCCAATTACGTAATTAACCATCCTTGCCCAGTTGCCCGAACATCCAACGAACTGAACGACGTCAACCAAGAACACTTTGCCGGTAAGTTGGCATATGGTAGTCGGATCGACCTGAAAACTACGGGAAATGGCTTTCACCATGCATTCTGACGTTCGATCGGCGATTCAAATCGCTTCCCGCTTCCGCCGCCGAGGCGGTCAACCCCATCGCCTGCTATTTCCAATTTCGATTGCCTTTGGGTCTCCATTCGATTGTTCTGCAGCGGCGGTGGATGCGAGTGTGAAGGCAAGAGCTTTCTCCACGGGTAATTTTGGAAACGATGAGTTTGAGAGCGTAGAGGCTAAAAAGATGTCGGAG